TCCCACTACAATCCTCATGGTGTCGAGATCACGACGGTCGACTCTGTGCAAGGACGCGAGAAAGAGGTAGTGATTGTTCTTACCACTAAAACTGATTTTGCTCCAGATTCGACTGAGTTCCTGGGCGACTACCGCCGCCTGAACGTGGCCGTCTCCCGCTGCCGCGAGGGCCAATTCATCATCGGCCACGTTCCCGCCCTCTGGACGATACCGACATGGAGCCGAGTGCTGGAATGGGCCGACTCGATCAACGCCATAGTCCCGAGTACCTCCGTGGGACAATACCTTCGGAACCCTCAGTTGCCGCCCGCTAACTCTCCTCAGGGGAGCCAGTTCTGGTTAGATGTGAGTGCAGCGCCTTGCAGGCGCAGCTCGGATTCTTTGACGGTGACTCATGTTTTGCTTTCAGGGCGTGGCGATGGAGCGACCAGCTTCTTCGGGGAGTCGACCTGCCTCTCGGACCGAGGACGCTCGGATCCCGACCTTCTACTCCATCTCTTGGGCGAAGCCCTGCTCTCTCGAGGACTAGTGATCTCACCCACGTGGTGCTTGCTCTCCTGTCTGTATGCTTATGTTCTTTCGTGTATTTGTGCCTTTTTATGATGCCTTGCTCGGCGGACCTCCGTCGATCTCATGTTTTTTGATGTCTTAAGGATAAACTTTAGTAAATAATAAGTCTTTCCCACAGAAGGAAGGATTTAGCACCTTTTGCTGCGTACGCTCGCTTATTAAAACGACATGAGGATCTTAGTTGGAGCAGGGTGAAAATCGTGTCGAGGAAATAACCGCCTCTTTACGACCCCCCTCCAAAACATGGACTCTGATACGACCCCTTTTTGTCCTCTGCACATCCGGTTTCATATCAAAAAATGCTAGTTTCAGATGTGCGAGAGGGACGCAGCGCCGCTGCCACGCAAATGCGGCTTGATCCAAATGCTAGATTCAATTCTGCTCAGATTAGGTTCTCCTTCTTTCCTTTAAAGACTTTGCCACATTGGCCGGAAAGTAGAACATTGAAGGAGGTACTGCCCCTACACAGTTGAACAGTCTCGCGCTCCAGTATAGCGGCGCTAACTACCCGCGATCGCGTCGCGCGCTGTGCCTAGAGCGCGCTAGTTGGAAAAATCGTCAAATGTACCCCCTATTTAAAGGACTATAACTTTCTTCATTGATAACCATTTCAGAAAGTGAAGGCAGCTTTTGAATGCACAAGACTTCTAGTTTCTAAATTGTGCTGAGCGTTTTTCTAAGCACGCCTATTCTCGAGAGTGGGAGACGTCGAGAAATTGTCGAGGAAATTGAAATTTACATGCGAGTTCCCACTCTTTGGAAGACAGTAGCTGTCTTCATTGGCAATGCTTTGAAAATCGGAGGAAAGCGTTGTAAAGTAGAAGATTTACGCTTTTGATAGGTGCTCCAGTTGTTTCGAACGCTTTCTAGTTCGCGAGAAATCTGCGTCGAGGAAATGTCAAGGAAATTTTCGAAGCCACTCGAAAACTCTATTACTCCCTCGCCGTAGTAGGGAACTTCTTTGAACACCTTCAAAATACTTCTGTACACGTCAGTTCGATGGAGTAAATTGAAAATGATGCACTTGGCGCAGATCCATTCCGTTCTTGTATGCGCCATGCAGTGACCCCACTCGGAGTCATTGGGAATGACGACTTGCTTAAGCACACCAAAAGATATTTCCAGTATTAACTAATTAGGATAACTCTTGTGGTCATAGTGATGTCTGATCATTCCTTTATTCAAATCGCTTCCTTTCCAACCCGTTCTGATGAATGACACGCTTGCGGTTGCAGGATCTGATGATGCCAAGAAGGCTGCGAATCTGCCTGTTTTGAACTTTCTACCAAGATGCTGTTCCTCCACTAAGTTCTCGAAGCATGTGCATCATTCTAGAGTAGATACTCGCTGCCCTTTCCCTACGATTCTTTTGCAGGACGCGTTGATCACTACGAACCAAACCAACACCACTTTCCATTTGAATTTTAATTCCAGACAGTTGTAAGATATTATTTGCATTAGGCTAACTACAACACTTGTGAAACTAATGATGACAGCAAATAAGTGGCAGCAGCACCGTTGTGTCCGTTGATGAACCTTTTGATTACGACCCCCTCCCAACTCTCATCGGAGCAAATACGACCCCCTGTCGAGGATTTCCTCGACCGTTATTCACCCTGGTTGGGGGGATACGCGGCGGCGCGGCGCTCTGTTCGTCTGCTCCTCCAAAGGCTTAGTCCCAGGGGCAGTTACTATTTCGCCATCACGTGGCAGTTTCGAAATACGCGCCATCAAGGACTAAGCCCTGCAGGAGGAGACGAACTGTCCCCCCCCCTACAGATAGCACCGATATCAGTTCTTACTTTAATGAACCGAAGACACCCACCTTCAGATTCCAAGGGAATCTTCAAAAAAATGAGGATGGAATGATCGAATTAAAGGGCTTGACGTGAAGAAGTGGGCACGCTGCTTGACGCGCACCATTAAATATGCGGTATACAACCCTAACATCTTGAGCTTATAATCTTGTGGTGGTTCTTGTGTGGATTATCTTCAAATAAGTAATTGAACGCTAAGCAGAGTGAAGCTGAGTTGCACTGTGGTTTGGAGTAGTATGCGTCACACCAACTCGTCAATGCTTGGTATGGTATGGCTTGCGGAAGATCTCGAGCGTACTCATGAAAACTAAAGGTAAGCCTGGGATAAAACCTTGTGTACAAGAGCGCATCGTTGTGATAACTGAGCTGCGCGTCAAACTGAATGTGGAAAGGAAAGCAAGAGAGATCGTCGGAAACACTAAAAGGGTTAACTTCAGTAAAGTCGGATGTGGTACGACTTTGAGACATTGCGATCAACAATACAAAACACACGAGACAGCACACTGATCTCTACGTCATTCCCGGTGGGTGGGGAGCCTTGTAAGGGGGTCGACCATGTGGAATCGTAAGAATTAGCGCTGTAATCACGCATCTTGCGCAACGAAGCTGACATGATCTACATATGTAAGGATCCCACAACCTCCCTTGGGGTAGCCTTCTCGCTAATGGCGGGGATTTGGCTTCAAGGGTACGGCAAGTTTTGCGCGAAATCGATATGGTAGCCTGAACAAGTAGAGACAGTGAGCTGGTCGGTTGACCGAAAAGTGCAAAAGTAAACGCCACGTCGATCAAAATGTTGCGGAATTTTCGAAGCTTCATTAAAAATTCCTAGCAATATATGTAATATGTTGCAGGAAGAACGGACCGGTCTAATAAATGCTGAAGTCACGATTAGTTGTCCTGTTATGGTCACATCAACGAATACTCCCGATGTTATGTATTGATTATCTACAGTTCTACTTAGATTTGATTAGTGCTGAAATACCACTTCTAAGAAGAGACTATTCCTTTCCAATCCTAAATGAATATATAATAATGAAAGAACCACCTCAAATATTCTAATTGGGTACGGGAACATCATGAAAGGAAACGTTAGAAAGTAACTCTACCCATGTGTTGCTAATCGTCTCAGTGGATGAGTCCATTTTGAAAACTTTCCTTTGAAAAACATCAAAATCAGAGTTAAAAGTCTTCAACTGTTTTGACTCAATTATAATTTGAATCATTTGCAGGATTGATAAAAGCGATAAATCGTTTTCATATCTGAAGATGGAACTAGAGATCACGTTCTAAAGTACTGAGAAACAAACTTCTACTCTTGAGATGCCGAATGTTTTCAATTTCTATATTTTTGGCTCACGATTTTGAGTTTATTAAATGTTTCAGAGGAAAGCGAATACAATTCACCTGTGGTGTTTCTTCTTCTGTGCCGAACAAGTTTTTATGGTGAAACCCGTTTAATGGTCAACGTTTCGACAAAACGTCGTCTTCAGGACCTGAAACTTGTAAGCACTAACATTCAACCAATACGGTGGAGCGCCTGATCATGTAAGTCCACCGAAACTCAGAACAAAACAGAACAGGACGATGCCAGTGAACGAATCAACTCGCAAGAGTTAAAAGCTATTAGTTCGAAACAGTTTCAGGTCCTGAAGACGACGTTTTGTCGAAACGTTGGACCAAGAAGGTGGTTCCACCATAACAACCTGTACGGCACAGAAGAAGCAACAACCATCGGAATGCCCAGAATCCAAGAAGACCGAACATGGAATCAGCTGTAGTTTTCTTGGGAGCACGATCAAAATATTGCGTGCTTATTGCACCAAACACTGGCAGCTTTGCTGAATTCTGCCGGAAAAAAGTGTGGATCATTCCTCCTAGAAGTTTACGGAAACATGGATTTTCACGATGAGCAGCTCTCTTGACTTCTGACCCTTTCAAAATGAGTCATTCGAGAATTGCTAAGTCACATAGTAATCCCCATTTCTTTTGCGATCGTAATTACACAGTGGGCGTTTCTCGTAACGCCGCCACTCATTCATTGAAATGTTCTCAATGATTATTAGTTTTGCATTAGTTTATATTGGGTGACTACCGGTGGCGCTAAAAATTCCAATTGAATTTACTTTTCTTGCGCCATTTTTGATCTCTACTGGATCTGACTCAGCCATGGGGTATCAGGTCTGCCTTTGTTCAATCTTGCCTGTGTGACATCGTGTTCCTAGAAATTTTGGCTCTCCTCTGGTTCAGCGTAGTGGAGCTGGAAATAACATAGATGAAGCATACATCAGGATTAGACTCATCGCTGACTCCCACTCACAACCATTTATCACTATGTACATATATATGGAGTACATCGCAGCGCGTCTGAGTCACAAAAGCAGGAGCCGTTGATTCACCAACGTGCCTCAAGAGGGTTCAAGAGTAGTTGCGATCTTCTGTGAAACCCATAGAATATACTGTAAAGGGTAATGAACTTCCGAAACACGTCACATTCCCACAATGTTTTTATTACGTTTTTCTTATCAGGCTCTGAGAACAAATTGTTCCCACACAGGACTTCATTACCTAACTCCCTACCTCCCAATGATTAATTCCCATCACTTAATTTAGTAGTGGGAATAGAGTGCAAAGCTGGTGCTGAAGCAAAGTGTGTATGTTTGATTCCCCGTGAAGCAACTTATGGAAGAAAGTTGATACAAGGGTTAATGGAAGATGTACCACAGCGGGTAAATAGCGATCATCTGCTAAAGTAAAATCCACCTTATGAATCTTAATAGAAAAAAGTCCCAAAATGCCTAGGGCTGCACAGGTTGTGTGGCGATATTCTGTGCCACTTTGTATCATTCGGTAGACTCCATTAATGATCGGCAAGAACGTCGAAGAATGGAAAGCCATGAAATGCTAGCTTTATATACCTTAAAGGAGGAATTCACGATTAGAATGAAGGTCGAAGAAAGGGAAACTGACCTAGTTGAGGGACCCACGGACCTCCTGAGGGTGCGAACTGACGCGCAATTCGCATGGAAAAATTTGACCTCGGCGACCTATCATGCCTCAAAGCTGGCGGGTCCGGCGATCTCCGCCCACCGATCATCACTCGCCGTAGTTCAATACGTGGCGAGTGATTAGATAGCTGAGAGAGCGTAGTGTTGAAGAGGGCACAGCGATGAGAGTCGCATCAATGCTCAAATCAACGGGCAAGGAAGGGGTCCCATTTCTCGGGTTCTGGGCCGTTTCTCATGGTTCTTCCTTCTTTCGTGTACCACTCACCATCCCTAGGTTAATTTGAAATGGGTTGCTTTTTCATCGTGAATTCGTCCTTTAAACACCCCCCCCTACTTCCTTGAACAGTCTGCTCCATTGATTTATAGGTGAGCACCATCCAGGTGAGTTCCTATTCCTCAATACACAAATGTTTCCCATAATTTTTGCAGCAATACACGAAAAATTCGACGCCAATCCCTTCCCTCAAACTCGGTCCTCCCCGTAATTGTGAAGAGTTTTACAGGCAGCCGTAACGATTTCGGGTGGATCTAATGGGTATGATGGAGCTATCTTCAAAACCTGCACACGCGATGTCATCGTGGTTAAAATGTGCGCAAGCACCGAGTGCTACCATGTGTGCTAATGTTTCAAAGGAGACTCTGCTGAGAACGATCCACTCCTCAGAGCTGGCCAGAGGTGCCCGTATACGTGATGTCACTATTTCAGGATCCCACACTAGTGACTGGCGAAGTTCAGGTTGACAAAGTGTGAGAGAGTGCATTGTCATATGAATTCAGTGGCAACGACGCTGGCCATTGCTCCCCACACCTCCCGCGATCCTTGACGCATGGCCTGCACGTGCTGAGTGTGCGTTGTTGCTGGGTCGTTCTGTACCACAGTACCTGGCAAAGTATATATAGTTAGCGCATCTCAAAAAGAACCAGGTTTGAGGTGTGATTGAGGTCGAAACTTTTGTCTGATATTTGATTGCAATATTATTTACTTCTTGTGATATTCCTCTGACAATTGTGAAATGTGTGAGGCTTACCCTAGTTCATTCTTCAGCACGTCTTCGATTCGCGTCCTAGACAATTGTGGAGCCCTCACTTTGAAAAACTTCTATGAACCAAAACATTTTACATTTCGCAGTGTTGCTACTTTATATGTGGTGAAGTACTAAATTGAGTATTTTCTGGTACAATATTGAGATAAGGGAGCACTGCGCCATCTTTTTAGATTTCCATAAATATCCATTAAAACAATGGCCCCTCTCCAAAAGAATATGGAAATATGTTATCTAAGCAAAATCTGAAAGTATTCAAATGTGAAGCTTTGATGATGCAACGAACGTCTTCAAATCGGACCACATTCTCGAAGTCCCATTATCTGTTACTACCTTCTATAACGCCTTGATTAAGGCGATACGCCATGATATGATGATGGAATCCTCTTATTGTTAAATGAAGAACAGCTGTGAATGATTTACACAGCGTTGTGCTAACAAGCTTAACTCACCTTTTAACCTCATTTGCTTCAATTTGTTGATGTTGCCGCAGTTCGCCATGCGTAATTTACCACACCTATGCTTAGTTATGAGTAAAACGCTTTGCACTATTTGACCTCTCGTTCCCACGTGCAGTTGTGCTACCGTTTATACCACCAGTGATTTGTTTCTTCTTGACTCAGCTGTCATATATTTCGTATTGCTTATCAGCATTGTATTACAGCTGTCCCTGTGGGGTAGGGATCACTTCGAGCTCTTCGTGGCAAGATATGTTTTATGCTCCAAACTTATTTTGGCAAGTAGAGCTGCACGGGATTAGATCGAGCGTGCTTGGTTGATTCAACATCCTATAGAAGCGCTTCGCGGAAGAACCTTGCTCTGATTCAAAACAACACCCTTCTTATGTGACGAGAGCATTTCATGGGAAAATCACAGAAAATTTTGCAATGAAATCAGATGTTTCATCCTCCCCTGAATAGGATGGGGGTATCCACAGATGTGGAAGAGCGTCGTTTTCGCGGCACGAACGAGCGCGAGCAAGGGGCTGAAGCCTCGGCAGTTTTGGTGCTCAGCGCTGCTCCTGTCCATTCAATGCTCCACACTGCGAGATGCTTGCGTTTCGCTCGACTTTGGGCTTTCTGTCGTTCCCGAGCATGTTCTCGCTGCTGCGCATACCTTTTCCTAGACTGCCTATCTCTTTCTGTCTCTCAGATTCCCCCATCATCTATGAAGAAATCGTTCTGTGTTTCCGGAAGTATCGTTCTTTTTTCTGAAAGGTGTGTTAGGTGCACCCTAGAGTTCAACGTTTCGCACCCTTTCTTCCATTGTCGAGCTCAAATGCCACATCTGCTAATTGTGATAGTACCGCTGAAGTAATTGGCTGAAAAAATTTACCTCCTCAGTCTTACTTTCCAGAAGCGAGCTTTTCTTTCTTGTCAGTATCTTCCATTTTTTTTCACTAATATCTTCGAAGTAAATTATCATCCTGAAAGCTAACTTGAAAACGATACATGTAGGTCTAAGTTTTGAGCTGCAGCCCCTGAAACAAGCTGAAATACAATGACAAGTCATTGAGGTGGTTGTAGATTATTGATATCACTTAGGGAGTAAGCCATTAACTGAACTTTGGTTTTGCTTAGTAAAAGAAAAAATTACTTTAAAAATTTGTCGCTACTGTCAAAACTTTTTTTGCAAACATTAGTAGTCTTCGGACTCAAACTGCCCTTTTGAGAAGCCATATGAAAGCCATCACAAGAACATCATCACTGCATCTCTATGACTACTAGCGTCGTTACACATTTACTGTTGTTTTTCTACTATTATGACTTTATTTCCATTTTCTTTAAGAAGGAACTCCTACTTGTAAGTAACAACTGTATCCGTGAAGCATTTTGGTGCGTCTTTTCCGTTACAAATCAACTAACTTTCTTTTTTTCCTGTCCCTCATATTGCTGTTATTCCGCGCAGGCACAGGACCCGCAGTTCGTGTTAAACGTCACCACCTATCCGATTCATTTTCTGCCAAGGCCCTCACCTCATTGACGTCCTTCATCACTACGTCTCTTCACCTTTGCTTCAGAGCTCTAAGTCTTGCTTACCCTGGTCTTCAAGGTGCAGTAGCGGTCAAAAGTTTGGGAACATTCTCTTCCCACAACATTATAATTTATGTAATTTGCAAATGAATTCGTAAATCAGGTAAACGTGGGCTGAGCCAAATACAATGAAAGCCTGAGGAATACACTGCTCCCGTTTGATAACTAGTCGGTAGTGAGCCGAAAAAAATGGTTGTCTGTCACTACTACGACCCGATGCAAGGAAACCTTGTTATTGAAAACTCGGACAAAAAGGAATAATGATTCAGTTTATTACAGTTCACGAAATGTACTCTTCAAACTAAAGTCCAAAAAATGACTAATGGTTTTAATGTCAATAGAAACGACGCTATCATAGAATTAAAGGCAGCGATTACGATAAAGAGGGAGCGCAGGGGAAGCATATGCACCACACGAAGCAGTTACTTGGCTGCCAAGGAAGCGAGGTGTGGCGCTTTCACGACGAAAGGTGCGCTGGTTGCTGAGCAGGACTTCGAAAGCACTCCGCCCCCAAAAGCGATCCGCCCACTAGTTTAGTTGGTGATTTGGACGAGCTGCGTTGCCAGCAGCGGCACAACTGGAGCAACTCGATTGGAGCGTGGTTTGGCATGGTGCCACCAAACGCGTTGCGTTCATACGTCCGCTTTCTGAGCTGTTACCTGTTCATGAGTGAAAACCAACGGCCAAAAAGGGGTCCGTTTTGCGTTTTCTTGACGGATTTTTCTGCTTTTTTCGCCACTGGCATACCATTGAGCCCTACTTGAATTTTCCGCAATTGCTCTGCTTTGTGAATTTCCAAAATATCACGCCCATTAAAAAAAAAACTTCGGATGGGATTGTCGGCTTGGGGAAAAATGTTGCACATCGTATTTTAAAGTTCATTTTGGATTTAGTAATGCAGTCGAAGCAATTTTGTTGTTTATTAGCTGCGCTCGTTCAAAAACAAGAAGTTTCTAAAAATTTTACCGCTACTGTTTATTACACTGTCACTTCTTCTTATTTTCTTACCATTAGGGCCACATTGGGACACAACAGCCATTTAAATGCGCTCCGTGGTTGAGGTTTCTGGGACTACACAGATCACCATTTGGTTGATATGCTTCTCTTGCCCGTACACATTTCTTAGTTGAGTGTTTCCGATAGTTCCGTCCACACAGTTAGTGCGAACACTGCAGCAGAGTACAAATAGTGGTGCATACAAAAGGTTCTGTGGAATCTGGACTACGCTCGGAAAATTCCTTTCATAAATCTGGTTTTTTGGGAAGTTTTAATTTCAAAAATTGACGAACTCATAGTCAGCGCAGCCTCCTCACGCTGTCTTTTAGACTTTCCGATGTGTTTTTTGCCTTTGCCTTCACATCATGTGTCCGAAACAAAAGTGAATCAGGTCAACGTTGGAGAAACGCATTTCGTTGAAGACGTGAAAAAATTAGCAGTTTTTTTCCGAAAAAATTCGTTCAAGGCTTTGAGCGTGACCCGGGTCATTTGACTGTACCTTATGTGAAAGCTGTTGCGTCATAATGGGCACCAAGTGCCATTGGTGTGCTTCCCTTGCGAAGTAAATCAATGAAAACTAGTTCATTCTCCGATTCTGATTTACTTTCTTTACCAATGTGTTGGAAGAGGCAGTCTAATTGTGAGCTCTTACACCCCTCATACTTTCGAAGCTGTCACTGTTGCCTGAGTTTTGCTCGATTTTCGGAACCTTTATGGTTAAAATGAACGATTCGTTAGTTATACTGGTTCTGCCTCATCAACAAGCTTGAAAATCGAAAGGCATGATGAACCCAAAAAGGTACTATAGAATAGGTTGCAATCAAGACCAACATTCTGCACGTAATATTCTGAACTTTTCAGCATTCCCAGAGACGAAATTAGATGTGCATCACGTCAGTACTTTCTTCAGGTTTCCTCATGAAGCCTAATTCGTTAAACAATCTGTAAAATGGTCCCTTGAAAATAACTGCTCACGTGATTAACGCAAACGCATAATGCGTATGCGCGTCAGACTTCACACGGACCAAGCTCGTTGTCTTCAATTTATCTGGTATTTCTCATATTCCAAAACTGTCTGCATACACTATCTTATCCGAAAAACTGTGCAGCAATTACGAGCAGTGTAATTATTGAAGAAATCATGACGATTGTGAGAAAAGAACAAAAAGATGTCAAGTTGCACGCAGAATGCGCTGTCATCAGTGGGTTGCACATGTTGTTTTACCATATGTTTCGACGGCTAGGTGGTAGAATGCTTTATTCCTTTGGCGACAATGCGGATTTGCACGTAGCGTGCTCGTGGGACCACGCCTCTTTTTGGCGCGCCCAACTCTCGCACAAAATGGGGCAAAATTGTCCCTAAAAGCAGTTTTTCTATCAAAATTTTGACTATGACAATAAACAAAATATGACTGCAGTCTTAAGCTTTATGATCATGTATTGTTGGAATTAGAAGTGGAAGTTTGGAAAGAAATCTCGGATTTCAAAGGGATGGTGTTTGAAAACTTAGAAGTTCAAATGTACAGTAGAATTTTTGATATAGTTCAAACTCCTCCTTGTGTCTTAAGACTGTGAAAAGACGTAGAGGTCCTGATCTGTAATTCACCTTAAGCTTAATAATGTAAAACACTAGTTAATACATCGCCGAGCGAAGTGCCATATACTAAAACTTCATATATTAGGTTGTCTCATAAATAGTGTCGCTTTTTTTCAACCAAAAAATTTTCATCTAAATCCCCATGCTTTTACATCGATCATATACCATTCGAAAGAGAATTGTCTGCTCTACAAGATGCTATGTTCTTCTTCCACCTCTGTTCCAGGGTTTTCAAATTTTAGGCCTGCGAAATGGGAGGTCCAGCCGACAAAAATTGACCAAACCGACAACTATCTCTAACTTTATCTTCCCTTGGGAGAAATCAATCAATGATGTACCCTCTACTTATGCATGACCTCTTCTAAACATTACACTATTAGGTTTCCCAACAAGTCGCGTCATTCCATTTCCAGACCTGGTTTTTCAACCAGAACTCGACGGTCGAGCACCATTACCTGAGATCGAGGTCGAAATTTTTTTACAGCCGAGACATTGAAAAACTAGTAGAATTTAAAGAACAAGTCATGACTAAGTTAGGAATGTACGCCTGGTTGATTTTCTCATCTTCTCAGGGATAATTTTTTCAAAGAAATGCGGTCACTTTCGTGGATAAAGCACCTTACTCCTAAACACCTAAAATTCGAAGCTAATTCCAACAAACATAAAACAAAACAAATGAGCGAATAGAGCAGAAGAAGTGCTCACAAAAGATACACCAGTTGATATAAAACAATAGCGTTTCAGAGGAAGAATTTCAATTTGAAAATTGCCATGGCTTATCGGTCGGCCAATTCGAAAAGAAACAGGGCAAACCTTTTTCGGCAACCTAAGGGTGGAATGTTCAGAAGAGGTCATGAGTAAGTAGAGGGTACATCATTGATTGATTTCTCCCAGGGAAAATAAAGTTAGAGCTAGTTGTCGGTTTGGTCAATTTTTGTCGGCTGGACCTCCCATTTCGCAGGCCTAAAATTTGAAAACCTGGAACAGAGGTGGAAGAGGAACATAGCATCTTGTAGAGCAGACAATTCTCTTTCGAATGGTATATGACCGATGTAAAAGCATGGGATTTAGATGAAAATTTTTTGGTTGAAAAAAGCGACACTATTTATGAGACAACCTAATAAATTAGCTAGTAACAAACATTTCTGCAAAATATGCTAAACATAGGCGTAACGGAGCTTGCTTATAATTACTGATATGTTGAAAATGTTTTAAATGGGTAAGAAGAAAATTTCAGGGTGGCACCCACCATTGGGTGCCATTGTCCCACGCGACGGTCATAGTGGCACCCACCGGTGGGTGCCAAAGGGTTATGGGATGACGCCGTTTATATATTAGGTTGGTAACTTTGAAATGTCGCTTCCTTTAGTGGCTTTGTTTCTCAGCTGAAACTCAACCTCGTAATATGGGAGACCATCCATTCGAGAGAGCAATTCAGTGCGCATATTGCGAAACCTTAGCCGTCAGTGAGCGGATGTTCTTCGAGCCAAAACTTTTGCTCGAAGATGATTGATCAGAAAACATCGCCTGAGCGTGTATATTCAAGCAAGGAAAAACAGCCAACGAATCCCACTCATTGTGTGCAAAACATTGAGCAGCAACACTAGTCTCTGATGCACTTTCAGCTATGGTTTCAGCTCTTCCAAGACTGAGGTAAAGGACCTGAGGACGAAGGTCGTGGATTTTGACCTCTAGCTCTAGATGACGGAGAAATAAAGAAAGCCAACGAATTGAGTCCTCGACAAACCGCACAAAACTTGCATGGAGATTCAGTTGTGTCAACAGAAAAATTTAAAAGTTCCTACGTGCGACTGTTAAGGCCTTTCAGGATAGAAAATGGGTTCGGCCTATTCTGAGCGACACGAGCAAGCAGTACTGGTTGCCAATACTGGAACTCTGCTGCATAACTCCAAGAAGAAGAAGGTTCCTGACTTCGTTGAAGCGTGTTTTACAGAAGGATGTTCCCCGATAACAAAGTGAGAAGATGGCCGTGGTTGGCAACAGATGGGCAGCTGAGGGCCTCTCCGAAACCGGACAGCCACAGAGAAAAAGTCTTGCTACAGTGTGGTGAAGCAGTATAAGAATGGCTTACTATGGAGAGCTGATTGTGCGTCATATAGTTACAGCTAAACTCTGCGCACAACATCCCGCAGGCGAGGGTCGGGCTCTACGTAGTCAAAGGGCAAATTCGGTCATTGAAAAATTTTGGCACGATAATGCAAGATCACATGTCGCGAAAATTTTGCAACAAGAAATCGAGGAGTTGGGCTGGGACGCTCTGCCTCTCGCGCCATATAGCTCAGACCTGGCACCGTCCAACTATCACTGACCAGGTCAGCGCAACACTCCTTAGCAGCAAACCAATTCGATAACCGCGACGACGTCAAAATTTGAGTACCTAACTTCTTCGAGTCGTACCTGGAAGAGTTCTACGAGGTAGACCTCCTTGCCTTGCATAGGAAAAGGTGGAGAGTGGATGATACACATAAAGGAAATAAATTAGGTTGATAAGCTTTGGTATAGCTTTTATACTTAAGATAATCTTTGATCAAAAACGACATTTCAAAGTTACCAACCTAATATTATACGAACGTTATAAACATCTCACAAATAATCCTTAACATAGTACATCTTTCATGAATTAGTTGGTACCGAACTTCCCTTAGTAGAGATACTCGCTGTGCATCACTTCTGTTTTTGAATTAGTGACATTTTCCTGACCTGCTCTCGACAGAAGGGCTCTATCTAGCAATTTGCTACATTTTATAAAAATCGATTCAGCAGAAACATTGCCTCATTTTTCTTTTCTAAACTTGAGTATACAATGTTGTAAGCCTCTTTTCAAGGAAAATAAAAGCTTTTCGTGTAGCCATATTGATCTAAACGTGTATTTGATGATGGATACAGCTTTGCAGAAGTCCGCTCACTAATCTTCTAATGCTTGGTGCGTCCAAATGTACCAAAATATTGAACCCTTATGAGATGTCAGCTTCTTTATTTTTTTTCCTATGTGTTAAGATCATGAATACTTTTTTTCATTCAATGCACTTTTCGCGTACACGGTTTTTGCATTTACTTATTTTCTTTCAGAACAACGTAAGCACTTTTGTTAATGTCTACGTTCACTTACGTCCACTGCCTCACCTGCTTTTACTGCACCACATTAAACAGTTACCATGTAGCAAATGTTCGCTAAATGACTTCTAATTTAATTTGTATCGCTTCAATTCCACCCACTCCCTTTCCTCGTATTCATTTGTTACTGAATTTATTTACAACAACACTAGCTCAGATTACCTAGCGCTCTTACTCAACCACGATTTCACCTCCTTGTCCTTCTTTCAAGCCATTAAAATAGCTCGACGATGGTGCCATATTTCTTTACGTGCAGTCGGTTATCTAATAAAATTGACATACATCTCCTAACGTGAAATTGTCTCACGCACACCCAGGGTCAACCGTACGTTACGTTGGACAAAGTCCAACGAGGGGGTGGGGGGTCGTATTTGGGGTGGAAAAGGGGGGGGTCGTATTTCGCGAGGTAGAGAGGTAGCGTCAATGTTACAGTAAGGGAAGGGATGTTTTTTATGGAACGGATAGTGAATTATGATAATTGTAGGCTGGGCTTTTGGGTTGAGTGCGAAAATTTTGCCGTTTCGACATACACCCCCGCTCGACGGCAATTTTGGAGGGAAAAGTGGGCGGAGTTGGGCTGTGTCGACTGATCTCAGAATCAAATACTATAGAATCGCCCCCGTGGCAGGCGAGGGTGGTGGAGGATGGTCGTGAAGGGTTAACCCCGAGGGGGATGGTCAAATCGAGGAGGGGGGAGAGGGGTCGCAAAAAATTCTAAATTTGGTCCAACGTGACTGACCTTCCGCCAACTGTGTTCCCTGGTGCTAAGTAAATATTTGAGTATTTGAGTGAAAACGAATGTGTATAGACAGAATCGAAAAACGAAGGAAACAGTGTGAATTTATGGTCTAGTAGGCCCGGCAAATTCACTAGGTGTTTACCGAACACCCTGTGGGATCCTGCTTGGGATCCTTGATTTTGAAGCGCTCACCATGAAAGGCTTTCAGGACACGGAGCGCTTTTTCAAAACAATTTTCGCATGTCATAGAGACACGCGCAGGGAGCGTAAACTGAGAATAATTTTTCTGAGCGGCTCTGAGAATGCTAAAAAACATGTCGAAACCATGGCTTGTGGTTCGATCCCCACTGAAGGACAAATTTTTGCATTTCTCTGATTTCCACTTTCGGGCTCATATATGTCTAAACTTATTCAGTGAACAAAAAGCTTCCAAAATGCAACTATTCAACTCTACAAATGCTGTAGAATTTATTAAAAATGGAAAAGTTTCACTTCTCAAGGAAAATTTTCTCCTTTTTCTGGCAATTCCAGGGCCGCTCAGAAAAAAAGGTCGTCAGATTCACGCTTCATGCACGTGCCTCTATAAAAACAAGAAACGTTTTAAAAAAGCATCCATGTCTTGAAAGACTTTCCTGGTTTGTTCCTAGGAAAAAACATTCGCATAGCTCGCCTTTGCTGGCAACCTTATTGAGAATATTATCTTGCCTTCAAGCTTGATATGCTAATGGAATTACTTTTTAGTTCGAATCATCTTTGAAACTCCGCCGCCAACATTAGGAGTATTATCTGGTAAATAATAGGAACAGGGTCGCAGGACTTGCATATTTGCAAGCTTTGATCCTCTTCTTTTCAGAGCTCTGCGTCATTGTATCATTTTATTTTAGCGAACTTGCTTCAAGTTAGCATAAGCGACTTTGGGTGAAGGGGCAATTAGTGCGGATGTTATCTTATTCAGTAGCTGTCAACAGTCCCAATCAGGGTCAACCGTCCGTTGGACAAAGTGCACATGGCGCACATCATCGAACTTTTTGTCGCACAGGGCGCCGATGTTAATGAAAGTTTTACGGCGGAATATTCCTTAGGTGTTCCCCGTAAGCAGAAGCAGGCCCTCCTTCACTGCCCCACCGTCTTCAGAATATGACGTCATCTGCCGTCACCGTCGAGCTCAACGAGGCTTACCGTAATCGCTCCGGCCTGAAGCTGCTACATAATTTCTTCAATGGATTAACTGGTGAATAGCTTCTAGAGACACTAGCTGTGACTGTGCAAGACCGCTTTAACCAACGTTTCGAGGAGGTCGTAATGGTCACAAGCATGTAACTTACGGAGGTAACCAAACCTTTACCGTAACCCCTTAGCGCCAGACCATCCCACGTTTGCGTCAGAGCGCGGTTGCAGTCTTCCCAGCTCGCAATGCTAGTACCAGTGCGAGGTGAACACAGTCAAGGACGCCGCCCTGCTACCCAGGGCAGCGATCCAAAAATGGAGCGACGTCGCAGCGTTCGCCTCGCCGCTCGCGCGGTGCCGCCTCATCCGACGTGAGGCGACAGTCGACTGCATTGGATCGTCCACCTTCTACATGAACGGCGCTTAGTACTCTGCGCGGGCCTGCTCGACGCATTCTCTCTTCGTTGAGAGGGCGCAGAGAAAACGAGAAGTGGGAGGCCAGGGGCCGGGTGCAGCAAGCCCCAACGAGGGGAGGGATCCCCAACCTTGGGGATCCCTCCCCTCACCCAACGAGGGGATGGATCCCCAACCTTGGGGATATATCCCCAACCTTGGGGATCCCTCCCCTCGTTGGGTGAGGGGAGGGATCCCCAACCTTGGGGATATGTCCCCAACCTTGGGGATATGTCCCCAACCTTGGGGATATATCCCCAACCTTGGGGACATATCCCCAACCTTGGGGATATATCCCCTACTTCGTCGCAAGACCCATCGTTTTTCGGTGGCTCCTGTGACGCAACCGTGCGGGACGGTCACTGCCGTCGACCCTCTGCGTCTCTGCAGGCAGGGGATACATCCCCCTAGTCGAGACTAGGGGGATTCGTCCCCTCACTTGGCGACGCGGAGAATTGAAGGCAGTTTCGGGTTTCTTCACCCTCTATTTCGCTTCGTTATTCGCATTTCTTTTTTCGCCATTACCTTGCCTTTGTTCATTCGCTGTTTTCTAAGCACTGTTCACAGTTTTAAAATTATCGAATATTCAAATTTGCGAAAAGAATCAGATACATATCAACATTAACCCTTTCGGCCCTGGCGGTGGCAATTGCCACCACCAAATTCAAACGCTTGCATTTCCGCTGAAACAGCATAGTTTTTCTAATTCTGCTAGAGTTTGCTTCAGTCAACCTTCCCCTTCCTAATTATGAGCTTAACCGGCCATTTCATTGTTTATTGCTGTTAGTATTGCAAGTATTTGTGTACAAGTGCAACAGTGAATGGGCGCTGACCCCCGCAACCGGCCAAGTAAGTGTGACTTTGTCTTAAAATACTTGAAGTGGATCCATTCCTAAATCAAAATTATGGGTTATAATATTATGCAAGATTATAAACTTTTTCGGCACAACTATGAAACTTCGAATTGTTTCGACATAAGCTTAAAAACTAAGAAGGTGGGCCAATTTTCAAAGCTTCAGTTTCTTTGTTTGTGATCGAATAGCTTCCAAATTTCGCCATAATGATACCTATATGCTCACAAGTAATAAACAATAGCTAGAAGAAAAATTTCTCCACGGGGAAAAATTCAGGTCCGAAAGGGTTAAGAATCTGCGCACGCGCGAAAGCAGATGCGAAAAGGATTAAATGCGTGTCGACATTGTAGAGCACGCTGTATTAGCGTTGCTGGAGGATTTTTGCACCGCCGTTTCGCGCTGTCGATCTCCGATTGACTCGGTCGATAGACACCCATTTCTTTTAAAAGGATTCGCAGATTTTGCGCGATTCGATGCTCCTCCCATTTTGTAGATCGATACGCATTTCATTCATTTCGCATTTGCGCAGATTCGTTCGTTTTGAGCGTCATTCGGCTGTGGCGCAATGTGTGAACAGTGCCTAGGAAAGGCTCAATGTGCCTCTGCGAGAGGAGGGCGTGGCGCGGGATCCACCGCTCGTTGCGCTAAAAAAAGGAATTTTAGAAGTTCGGCGAAAATTGGCGGGGTATATTCTAGTTAGGGGGCATCACGATGCAGTTTGTTCAACGTGAGAAGGGAGAAGGCAGAGCTTGAGAAGGAAGACTGCTTAGACACTTCGGATTATCTCTTCTCCTCTAAGGGTCAGCCCCAAAACTGAGCGTTTCCGTGAATCTGACACCATTCACGGGGCCACACTGAGCCAGAAGAAACCACAGAATCAAAAAAAAAGAGGGAAAGGCAATTGAAGAAAAATGGTTAACGATGTGAAAGAGGCGCTCAGCCTCCAAGACCATTTGCCACTGTATTTCGTAAGAGCCACGAAGTGAAGAGATAGTAACGGTTCCTATGTGTGCCGTGCCATTGTATTTCGAAACTGCCATAGTGCTACGAAACATTAATGGTCCGTGAGCCTTCGAGATGCGGAAGCCCTGGGTCCTGCGACGAAACCCTTGAACGATTCGTAGAATGTCGAGGATGGGGATATGTCCCCAAGGTTGGGGATGTATCCCCAAGGTTGGGGATATATCCCCAAGGTTGGATATATCCCCAAGGTTGGGGATATATCCGTATAATCCAAGGTGAGGTATTCTCCCAACGTGGACGGTTGTGTCCTCATGATCAGCAGTTAGGGAAATACGATGTTCCCCAAGGTTGGGGATATATCCCCAAGGTTGGGGATATATCCCCAAGGTTGGGGATATATCCCCAAGGTTGGGGATATATCCCCAAGGTTGGGGATATATCCCCAAGGTTGGGGATATATCCCCAAGGTTGGGGATATATCCCCAAGGTTGGGGATATATCCCCAAGGTTGGGGATATATCCCCAAGGTTGGGGATATATCCCCAAGGTTGGGGATATATCCCCAAGGTTGGGGATCCCTCCCCTAGTTGGGGCTTGCTGCACCCGGCCCCAGACGTAGAAATTCGATGGCACGTGACATTGCGCGCCCCAGTGCAACGTCGAGAACTGGGATACGGTAAAGGTTTGGCTTACCTCCGAGATTTACATTCTTCCGTAATGGTCTATGGTACCTCGACGACCTCGTTGAGCTCGTACCGTGAACCATGTTTCCGTGGGAAAATCTT